AGTACGTCTACATTTTGGTCAATATTTTGAGAATATGAAGGAGAAAAAATATAGATCCTACTTGTACCACGGTTTATAGAGCAATTCGGCTATCTCAATTGACGGGGAAGGTTAAAAATGATCTTGGTGCATGTCACTATTTCGAGGGAAAATAATAAAATGGCGTGGCGTCAGAGTGGTGGTGTTGTATCATTGACGTACGTATAGATAACGAGTTTTTTCTGGAAATTTATTTTATATTGTAATGTTCCGACTTTTAGTTATTTTATGCTATAAATCAACTAGTAAGTATATAGAGTAGGAGTGTAGATAGTTTTGTAATACTTTCTTCTTACTTTTTACCCTTTCAAAAATCTGATTTTGAGCGTTAATGGGTTAATATGAGAAAGAGGGTAGGTAGTATGTACTTCAGATGTTCATTTATAATATATAATATTTATTCATTTCAGATGTGTATCCATTAGCTAAAGTGAATTTAAAAATTTAATTGAAAATTACAAAAAAAATAAACTCACTATTTCAAATCTCTGAATAGTTTCGATAAAAGACTGTCAAAACCAGAATACACGATTGCATCTTCAATTTCTCTACTGCTAATTACGAAAACATAATTTATTTTTATTGTTTCTCTTAATGAATCGCACAGTTATTACATTGGGAAATCGTAATTTCAGCCCTTTACTTTGTTTGAATGCCACACCATATCTACCTATACTACGAGGGAACAGTTTATTTGTCACAAATAAACGCCTTTATTTGACAAACATTTTTTTAAATAAAACGCGAAATTTGCGGAAATATGGTTAATGTTGTTTTATGGTGACAGCTTACTTAATCAGTAACAAACATATTTTTTATTGAAGTAAGTTTTATTTATTGGAATTATATGTACTACTATTAATATTATGATAAACTATAGCTTTTAATAAAATATGTACCTACACATTTCAATGATAGAAATTTAATATTCATTTAGAAAATATTTTTGATTGGCAAAATATTTATTTATAATAAACATATATTTATTTTAAAGAAGGAAGTAATATTGCCTAATAAATCTCGTTTCTTCCGAAGATAATAATTATATTGTCTTGTCATTAATGCTTGTTTCTCTCTCACCTTCTTCAAAAGTAATATTATGTTACTAGTATTATCCACTTTTTTCTCACATGGCATGACCACAAGTATCCCTCATTCTCATTATTAGCTTCAGCAAAGCATATAGACGTGTCGTCAAAATTAAAAAGATAGTAATAACTATATTATGTTTCAAACATTATGAATGTAATAAACAAACTGCCTGAAAAGTTTTATTGGAATCTCCAAAATTATTTAACTGTGAAAATTTTATTCTTTTAAATAAAATAAACTATGAAACAGTACCCAACAAGTAGTCTAACGGTGGAGATAATCTACCTGATATCGTTTTCTTGCAGCAACATCATTTCCTCCTGACAAAAAATAGGTTCTACCCATACTAACGCTTTCTTGATTCGTATACAGACTTTTTCATAATATTACACAGGAACTTGAAAACGAAAACACAAATATACTCTAAACACTGAAATAAATAAATTTATGTGGCTATATACAGGGTGATTCAGAACTTATCCAAAAAAAAAAAAATAATCTGGATGTACAGGGCACGGCACTGGAAACTGGTCCAGTGTAAAACCTAACCTAGCACAATGCGACCGTCATGGCGGTGTGATAAAAACGGACAAAAACTTTCGCAAGGAAAGAAATATGTAAATAGAATTTTATCGCACCTATTTTATATCGGCAAATTCAACTGCTTTTGCCGTTATTAATTAATAAAATTAGTTTGTGTTTTTAAATAATTAAATCATTTGACATACCCGATGCTGCAACAGCAATTGTTCAAAATTTTATCCACTCACGTGTAAACACATTTGGGTCCGTCTTACTCACTTTCTACGAACTAACACAAATGATATCTTGCTTCACCATAACACAAACACTTCACCATAATACAAATGTTGTCTTGCTTCACCATAAATTAAAACGATATCCATCAGCTCTGAGTTGCTATACACGCAAGCCATTTTTGAAACTAACTACTAAAAAACTGATGTAAATAACACAGATAACAGGTAAAAACTACCGCAACGACGGATTTCAGTATTAGGAGTCACATGACTCTCCACGCGTATTGCGAATGACGCTAGAGGCTACAGTTGTCCAGCTATGTAGTGGTTTAATGTGCTATTACTTCAATAATTTTTTTCTCAGAAACTATAAGGATTTTACAAAAATTTTTTTTACAATACTGACTCCATTTCTCATGCCGCATCTATTCCCAAATTTTTTTGGATAAGTTGTGAATCACCCTGTATACACAAAGCACCTTCTTGCAAACCGATAAACAAAAACTACAATAAATGCAATAAAATGAAACGATGATTACATATGCGATCGAGTGAAAAACGTCCGAAGTCCGCATATCGAAAATCAAAATCGGGACCAACGGTGTGTGACATCATATAATAAAAAAGTGTTTATAACTTGGAGTAAAAAAAATAATTTAAAAAATCGCCCCAACACCCGTGCTTCAGATTGTCCGTTCTGTGTTGGATGCAAAAGGTCCGAAGTCCGTATGTAAAAAATAAATTATGGAAACAAGAGGTGTGTGACGTCATATAGTAAAAAAGTCGTATAACTCGGAAACGTTGAATAAAAAAATAATTGAAAAAATATCCTCATACCCCAGATTGTGATTATCCGTTATGCGTTGAATGGAAAAGGTTAGAAGTCCATCTGTACGAAAAACAAAAAACGTAGTCAATAATTGCAACAGCAGTAGTCTTATCTCTCATTGATTGATGATTTGTTGTTTTTTTTAATAAATTTCGTATCAACCACCTCTTGAGGTTTCAACAATTCTATTAAATAAAAAATTAAGGTAGGTACTATTCTTAAGGAAATTTGGACATTTTTTAGTTTCTTTGAAAAAAATAATTAATTAGGTAAATTCATAGTTTTAATACTAATTTATTTTATTTAGCATTTAACACAATTGTCATTTCCAAACAAAAGATAAGTTCCATACGGGTATAACTCTCATCAACAAAGCCACCGCTAGAACTGCCTCCTATTACAAAGTAAAAGAGTTAACACGCTAAATTTTATTGCTGGATGCCGGCTAACAAGACCCTGCATCCATTTTAGTTTTGCCAATTTCCAGCATTTAAAGCGCGGTCTGTGGCGATAAGCTATATTGTCTGTGGTGTTAGTATAAAGTAATAATACAATCATTATTAGTTCTTTATTAAATACGCATAAATTAATATTATCAATAATACATATTTTTAGGTTCTAGTTTTCCAGTAAAGAGAATATAAAAAAACGGGAAATAAATTTACTTGATTCAAAAGTATTTGCATTTGATTGAAGATAGTACTTCTTGCACTTTAGTATATACATTTATAAATATAAAACAGCATATTTCTCTAAAACATTATATATACATTAACATTATATATTATATAACATATTTGCTCAAAGAACGTTATTCTTGTCACTTTTTACACATTTAATTAAATACTTAGCCTAGAAGAGATTTTGTTACAGATAAACCAATAATTTTATTTAAATAAATAATTTCTTTGACCTAAACAAATACTCTGCACTTTGCAGGTTTACTTGTTTGTCTGACATTTTCAAATATACTATTTGTTTCTGAGAAATTTATATCTGTTAGATCATATCCAAAATCGTCGTATGTTTACTGTAAATGAAATTTATTAACAACAAAGAATCTATTCTCTCGATATACCCATGACTTCAGGAATACAGCAGGGAAATATTTTAAAACCTCGAATAAGGGTTGTAAATCGGGAAGCAGTTTATTCTAATAATAGACACTTTTAAGCGGGAGTTAAATAACACATCAACTTTCTGAAAAGAAATATCACCCTTCTAAAATAAATCGCTGAAATGTGATTCTATTTAAGGGTTCTTTAAGCAAAGTGTCAATATATCAATCTCAGATGTTTAGAAAATAATTATCCTGTTTATCTGCTTTCAGAGCTTCTATTTTAGCATTTTGTAGTATATTTATATTATTTACTCTGTAATCTGCAGATTTAGATGATTAATGGAAGCACTAAAGTAATATTTAATAGTTGAATTAAATCCTATTTTAAGTCCCTTTAATGACACCTGGTCGTTATAAATCCTGAACGTTTGCTTAATTATGAGAAGAAAGTTAGTACCACATGTTTTCCCGACAAACGAAAACTTTTAATATATCAACTTTATGAATATCTCTATTCTAGCTGAAATTTTGTGTTGGTCATTAAAGAAAATGTAATGATAAAATATGGTATTATAGGTATATTAAGCTAATTAAACTGAATTTTAAAAATTTTCCTAAATTCCGTCAAAGTTATAAACAGAACGTATTGAAATGAGGGAGCACTACCAATAAATATGATATACGAGTATGTAACCAAATGTATCTTACAATTAGTCCAAAGTTACAGTTAAAGAAAACGTTGTCTCTAACTAGAACCATTTATTTTTAAGTTTGAATGGGGTACAACATACAGGGTGTTCCACCTAAGAGGGATTCTTCTGTAACTCTGTAACTATAAAATTTATAAAAAAATGGTTTTAATACAAGTTGTCTGGAATTATGTGGGTCATGTAAAGTAAATATTTTTAGCTTTACATAGTGTTCCACTTCGCGTGGGTGCTACATAACTTTGTTATTTTAAATGGAACACCCTGTATATTATTACATTTTTTAATTGCTTGGTTAATATTAGATAGGGTCTATTAAATGTACATGGTGTTTAAAACTTACCGTTTTCGAGATGATCAGTTGTTTTTGAAAAAAAATCACTATTTCAGCTCTCTAAATGAGGCTAGATAGCATCTGTAACATGCAATTTACGTTAATCGGTATAAAACTAAATAAATAAGTATCACATTGCATTTATTCTTTATTAATATGGTATTACATTACATTTTCTCATTGTAATTCATTTCAATTGCAGGTTGTTTCCCAGGAATCGTTGTGGGTCCTGTCACCTTAATTACAAGGATGTGTATTGTGTATTGCCTAAAATATATTAAGGGTCTAAATTTTTAACCACCAAAACAATTATAATCGTTACCTTAATGCGTTCATATCCAGGTCTAGTAAATAATATTTAATCGTTCACAACTGTCGCCGGCCGTGAGATCCTAGGGAGAAATCGTATTAGATCCACCCAAGTGCATGCCTAGCTCCTAGAATAGAAATAAACATTCAATCATACTGATAACCTAAAATGTAAACAAGCAACTAATACTTAGTAGATTATCGATAGACTATACTCAGGATAGACAAAGTTAGTTAAGAACATTAAGTCATTTGTTTGGTACTTACCATATTTTTGTAGATTCGTAGATGAACGATTTGCATTGTGTGGATTATTTCCTAAGGATGAGAATTTGTGTTGACATTTGACCATTTCGTTTCTTTTCGTCCTTTCTCTTCCGGCTGAAACTCCACCTACCTACCTGCCGAATTCAGTTCTGGTTCTGCGCGGTGCGTTGTTGCCCGATTGTGCGCTGAATCTTCCATGTTACCACTTTTCTATATCAAGGTATTTCTAATAAATATACACGGGAATGATATCTTTAGCTACTTATTTATGTTCAGGGAACTTAATCAAGGTGTTATAAATCATATTAGATTTGATTTTAGGGTTAATAATTGTTTACTATAGTTTACTTAGTTTTAATTGGTCAGACTCCAACCAATAGGGGTTAGGGATAGTTTTTTGTTAGCTTAAACTCCGGAGGGGATCCGCGCAAATTTTACACTTTATGACTTCCGGTACCTGGCTGTGTGGATTGGGTGTGTCGTAGTGTTGGGAAAACTTTTGTGATTTTTGAAAATCAGCTCTTTAGGATATTTGTTTTCCAAACGCCTGATGTTGATTGTGGTCCGTCGCATGTTGAGTAATTTTTGTGGAACCCAATCGCCAATCTTTCTTGTAAAGGATCTGTATCGTCACACCACGCAGCCAAGAGCGTGGTCCCACCTCACGTTTTTCTGTAAGTTATATTTTAAATTTTGTCAGTCTTTATCTTAGTTTCCTTGACGACATATTGTTTTTTTTATTCACTTAATCCCATCTATAACCTTACGCACTTAATTTTTTTCCCTTATTTATATTATTATTTATTGCGAATTATTTATATTAACGGCAGCAGTAACAATCTATATTTTCTATTTTCTTATGATCTAATGTTAAATAGAGTGCAGATTAATAAATGATGTTATCATTGAGTGTGTTATTTGATCTTGTTTGACAAGTTTTCTTGATCAAGTAGTAGAAATTATAGTTGGTGATTTGGTGGTGGAAAATTTGTCTGGCGCCCATAACAACCTAGTTAACTAGTTAGTAGAATACTACTTCCTAATTCAATCAACCCCCCCCCCATCTCCATTGAGTTGGCCAAACAACCTACCGTCTACATATAGCTGAGGTAGAAAATCTTACACTCTACTGTTTAGATATCGGTAAAGGAGCGACCTTGGGTAAGGTCGTGGCACGTCTAAACCGTAAGAGATAGAAACCTGTAGTTTTCACAATTCATTTTGGCATAAATTACTCTATCTTGTCATCTGTGAGCAAAGCGTGTACGTTATTCAGACTCAGAAATAGTGAGACCTACATTTGATAATATTTCGAGTTAAAAAACTTTATTTTGTCAAATGGAATGACCCATATTGTCATGGGTGAATGCAAAATTGAATGCCCGTTCGACTGATATAATACTTATCTCTAACAGTTTCTAGAAAAGTCGGATTCTTTTCTAAAGTCCGAAAAAGTATCTATGTAATAGCGTCCAGAAGGCCTTGCAATTGTATTAGTACAACGTCGGTCTCGTAGGATTTTACAAAAGCACAGCACATCCTTATCGCATCCAATTACACCAAGAATTACTAAAAATAGGCTTTCAGCGGAGACTGGAGTTTTGTCAGTGGGCACTTGAGATGTTAAATCAAGACGATGATTTTTTTGACGAGTCATCTACTCCGATGAGGCTACATTTCATAAAAATGGTTTCGTTAATAGTCATAATTGCCATTATTATGACACGGTAAATTCTCACCAATTCCGGAAAACTCATAGCCAATGATGGTCTTGAACGTGTGGGAAGCAATTTTCGGAACCCATGTCATTGGACCATTCTTTTTTGACCAGCATCTAACTGGAGCAGTTTATTTAAGATTTGTTAGACGACATTCCTTTAGCTACACTTCGAAGAATGTAGATGCAACATGATGATGCTCCACCTCACAATACCGCGGCGGTTCGTCAGTTTTTACATGAAACGTTTCCCAACAGATAGATTGGGCGCAGAGGACCAGTGAGTTGGCCTTCAAGGTGTCTAGATATGACAAGTTGCGATTCCTTTTTATGGGGATTTTTAAAAGGCAAAATTTACGTTACACCACCAACTACCGCGCATTACAGTACCATTTAAAGAAATTACATCAGACATGCTAACCAATGCTGAACAGTCTTTTAAAAACCCAATTCGTTTGTGTATTAAAATGGAGGACACTTCGAGCAATTGATGTAAATCAGCGGTCTAAGTATTCTTCTACTTGTGTTTCAAGTTTCAGTTTGTTTCGTTTTATGTTTTGTTTTAGTTGTTGTTAGTGGTTTACTTTTGTTGGTCAAACCACTTGCCAGTAAATATTGACACTGTCAGTCCCAGGCCTGATAAAATGCGAGAAAAAAAGTGGTTTTGCAAGGCCTTCTTGACGCTGTTACATACCTGATTTTTCTGGAAAACTGTTAAAGGTAAGTATAGACAAACTCATATCAGTCGAAAGGGCATTCAATTTTACATTTTCCCGCTATATACGTTATCTAGCCTCATTTAGAGAGCTGAAATCACGATTTTTTCAAAAACAACTGATTATCTCGAAAACTGTAAGTTTTAAACACCATGTACATTCAATAAACTCTACCTAATATTAACCAAAGAATTCAAAAATGCAATAATATACAGGGTGTTCCGTTTAAAATAACAAAGTTATGTAGCGCCTACGCGAAATGGAACACCCTGTTAAGCCGAAAATATTTTCTTTACATGGCCCACATGATTCCAGACAACTTTTATCAAAACTATTTTTTTATAAATTTTACAGTTGCAGAGTTACAGAAGAATCCCTCTTAGGTGGAACACCCTGTATACATCTCTTTTACCTCCCTCTGTCCAAAAACGGTATTTTAAGTACCGTATAAAAACGTTTGATAGCCCAAAATCTTTCTTATGTCATACATTTTCTAATACTTAATGTCATATTTTGTAAATCCAATATCGTTGCCATGTGTTAGCAATTGATTAATTTTTACCCAGCCCTGACTTAAAGTAACATTATATGTTGCAAATAAAAAAATTATGAAAGCAGTCAGGCTCAAATCGGAGCCGACTCCTTTTCTTGCAGCATGATTTTAGGCTGTTAGATTTGAGTCTCATATTCCAACCACACTCTCTGATTTCGGTAATACAATAATAAAAATCGAATTTTATCGACATGCGTAAAGAAAACAAAATTATATTTTATAGGCAACATATAAAACATGTTCGAACTTTGAATTTTTGAAGACATCAGTAAATTAATTTAATAAAGAAAGTATTTATAAGCGGAACACACATTCTATAAACGAAGATGCTATATCCTGTAAAAGTTTTGGCAGTGCACCAGAAAAAAGTTCACAGGACTACGTAAGTACCTACAACCTTTTCTTCAGATAGTTCGATAATTAATTTTTCCACTATTTTCATTCTCGCTCTATTTAACATACTCTTTCTTTTTTAGTACATTTCTTATTAGAGTTGGCTAGTGAAAAGGAAATTAAATATTAAAATTGTGCATTAATACCTAATTCTTATTGCAATTTACTTTTTAAAATATTTGAATGAGACATAATATGGACATCTAAAAGATTAGAATTTAAATAGATATCGCCGAAAAACATATTTTGATAAGAAACAAATGCTCTGTTTTTTTTACACAAAATGATATAGGAACAAAGAACTATTTCGGCGAAAGTTATTCATTTGTTTAACCGAAAATTAATTTTACCAGTACTTATTTTCGACTAACTTAAGTTTTAGTTGCGGCAGATAATAATATAAATTTTTTTATCTTTAATATAGTTACAGTTTAACAAATTTGAAAAGTGCGATCTGAAAATTAATTGTTACCTATAAAGTAGATCATAGTATCAAATATTTTTACTAAAAATGATAAACAGAATACCTGTGAGAGAGGAAAATAGTCATGTTTTCTATAAATAATGGCTAATTTAATTAGCCAAAACTTTCTGTTTGAAGTTTATACATTTTTGAAGTATTCTTGTATGGTATGTAATATGTATATGAATATAAGTAATTTATCGATTATTTATTATTAAATGCTAGTGACTTTATTTTTCTTTTCAAAGCAATAACTGTACTACCATCGGCCGTTATTGGCATTATCATATATACCCAGAGTAAGGCCGTCTATTTTATGTCGATTCCTCCACTTTTATAAAAAATATTATGCTATTTGTTGACTTTTCATAATTATTTAGTATTTATTGCTTGTATGTTTTAGTTGGAGTTTTTTTAATATAATATAAAATTGAATACAGTAAATAATTTTTCAAGTAACATTGTTTCTGAAGATAACGAAAATAAAAACTGACCACCCCTTAATTTAGATAATTTAGATCTGCCTAAAAATATCTAAAATTGGCAACAGCGCGGATTTGTTCACACAAGCTCATCACTGTGTATCCACGACGTTTTTTCGAATCATTTTCTCGACTTTTCTGCACATATTTGTGTGCAATGAATTACTGAATACATACTTGTACAATTCTTCCACAGTGTTCGTCCAATTCGGTCGTATACATATATGTATAATCTTTCATGTAATTTTATTTTAAACACAACGAATTGACGTTTGATGAAAACTAGATTTACTACCACCTTTATGAAATGTCATGCGTAACCTCTCAGTATAAGTACAAAGAAGGAAAATTCGTTAACACGATTGTTTTGCTATGAGTAAAAGAATTCAATATTATTTATAAGATTTTTAGAGAATACGTTCAAATTATTCCAAATAACTTTTACGTTACCGTATAAATGTCGTAGGTACTTGAAAAACGTTATTATTCTGTTCAGTTCTACATCATGGAAAACTCCAACTTAAGAAACACCCTGTATATAATTTCACCTCCGGAAATGATCACAGATCAAATAACCCTACTCCAGCATACAACTCGTCAACAGTATGAGATATTTCTATAGCAGAAGTCAATGATTAAAAAATTTCCGGCTGGTTGTCACCTCTGCAGCAGAAATCTAATTCTAATCTATTTCAGAGCTTCTTCGG